TTCATGGCTCATATTGAAGATGAAACGTAGTAAATTTTGGCTTAAGCAGTATCAAAATTTCAGTATGATTAGTTAGTTTAATATGATTTCATTTTGGAATGTGCAGCCACTCTTTTCTTTGATCTCAGTGCCTCATTTTTGTTACATATGACAGCAGAGCAAAAGTTCCAAGGCTCCTGAATGTAGGTAGAAGGATAGTGGAGAAAACCCTCAAAAATGCTATGTCAGGAGCTCATAAAGACAGCAGAGGATTCTCAGCTGTTAATCTGCTTTACTGCAGGAGAAACTTCAGCCAGAGCTCACCTCTCATCTTTGACAGTGCAGTCTGTAAGGTGTGAGACCACAGGACTTGCAGTCCTGGTGCTTACAGTCACACTTGCTAATCTGATAACTGTGTCAGTGTCTGAGGGGAGGCTCAGGATTGCTGAGATTCATAAAGTTAGAGAGTTTTAAGAAAATAGTTAAAAAAGACAGGCCTGTGAGAGAAATTTTGTGAACATTGCTAATACAGCGAAGAGTTTTCTAAGCAGTAGAGCAGACGTGACAAATAGCACAATAAACCTCTGTAGAACTGGCTTATAGATTGCAACAAAGTTATTTAATGTATATCTTTAGAAAGTTAGTATGGATAGATCTCTGTACTTTGTCTCTTATGAACAAATCATTGTGTTAAGTACCATTACGTGTGTTTCATATAATTAGATAGAATTCTTGTCAGTATGTTTAGCTCTATGTGTGATTAGCTGAAATCTAAGCTGAAATAGTTTTATGCTATGCTGTAATGTCATACCCCCTTAGCATTTCCTTTAAATCAGAGAGCTGTCAACATCCTGTCTCCATTGTCCTAACAATGTACTGAGACTGATGTGCTGAATAAATAGCTCACGACACTAGTTCAAATTTGCCCTGCCTCCGTTCGTTTGTAAATATCAGCCAGCTGCAAATGGTGCCCACCTTACCCTAATCAGGCACATCACACTTCCAGGCAAGGAGCCTGTGTTGTAGCACTCTCTGGCCTGTAGTGAGAGTCCTATGCATTGGATAAGTGGGTCCCAGCTATTCTAAATGAGCCACAGCTGCGAAGTCCTTAGTTGGGCAGCAGCTGTGGCTCGTAAAGATAACTGGGATAAAAGGGGTGGGTCGAGAGCCCAGGAGAAGCCCCTGAGAAGCCAGGAGGAATTGTGCTGCAGAGAAGAACTGCATGGTAGAAAACCAGCCTGAAGGTATGGACTTTAGGAATATAGTAACAACAGTATGGGACTCTAGAAATATGATAATAACAATAAGAATGCAACCATTGGTGACCCCGACGTGATTGAGACACGCAGCTTGAGTGCTGTGGAGGATAAGACAGCCAAGAACTGTAGTTGGCCATTGAGCCAGGACTGTGGGAAAGGCAGCCAAGAGCTGCAGAAGAACATAGCTATTGAATCAAGGAGCTGTGGCAGCCAGGAGCTGCAAGAAATGGCCTTTGAGCAAGAAGCTGTGTGTGTTGTACATGACCTTTGAGTCATGGGGGAATGTGTGCATTGTACTTGTGTGGTGTACGAGGCCATTGAGTCTCGGGATAAAACATGTATTGTAAGGAAATGCACATAGTGTATTTGAATATATTTGTTGGTAATAGAAAAATGGGGGAAATGTAGTGAGAGTCCTATGTATTGGATAAGTGGGTCCCAGTTATCTTTACGAGCCACAGCTGCTGCCCAACTAAGGACTTCGCAGCTGCAGCTCATTTGGAGTAACTAGGACCCACTTATCCAATGCATAGGACTCTCACTACACTGGCCCATCCACATCCTCTGAAAGTGTGATCCTCATCACTTGCAGAGTTCTGATGGTGTTTGTTGCTGTGTGGTACCTAAAATGGGACAGTGAGAGTTGTGTCACTTGGGTGGAGCATTCACTGTGCTGGTTTCCAGTCGGATGAGCACGGAGCCTTCATTCAGCCATGTAGTGATGGTGCCTGCTCAGGACCCTGGGGCTGTGTCATCCACCTGCTTTACAGGGCCAGGTGCTGGGCTCTGCTGCTGCATTTGGTAGGTTTGGGTTTCCTGTGACAGGAATGCTGTGATGTTAATGAATATAAAGCCATGCTCTTCTCTTTGAGCTACAAAGTTGTCTGTGCCACTGTCAGTGCTGGGAAGTTACCTGTGGTAACTTGACAAACAGAAGCAGCTCTGATAAATCATAGAGATATGATTTTAGCACAGAGGGAAAAGGAATCCAGGTAACTACCAAGCAGTGCCACTGAGAGCAAAAGCAGTGAAGGAATGCTACTCCTCAGCTTCCAGAAACTGTTCAAAGCACTTTGAAATGTAACAGGCAGAAAAGAGCTTCTGTGAATCTTTTAGGATTATTTATATTTGGTTATTGGTAAGAGAAAAAAAGTCAGGAAGTCTGATATTTCTTTTCACCTCTACACAGGGGAGATGAGAGAGGTTTTTTTTACCACTCACCCCAAAATGCTGGTTCATACTGATAGCAGTATGCAGAAAGATCCACATGTAGTTTTAACATATGTGCTGATAACCTTTGAATGTCCAAGGCACAATTTTCTGATTTCCTGCTGATGACAGTGGAAAGAGCATATCTATGTTTTCTTAAAATTGCTTGGTTGATATTTTATTTGCTTTTGAGTTAAATTTTTAAAAAGTGTTTCTCCCTCAGATCTAAAGACAGATGTGGATGTTCTGGCCGTTACCCATCAATTTTATTGAAGTGTGTTGCCCTTGTAGTTACACATTTGATTTGTATTTGATCGTGCTCTCATGCTGCTTCTTATATCTCTTTCCAGAGAGCCAAATGTATTATTAATGCTTAGGTTGCTGCAGGACATAAGGAAGTGAGTGATCTTGCTAGCAGAGCTCCTGTTAATGAAGAATGGAAGCTGTGGGATTAAGCACATCCTTAAAAGGATGATGATGATTCTACAACTGTATTGTAGTCTAACATGTTGATGATTATCTTAAAAAAAAAAAAAAGACCCCTCAAGAAGAGACTGTACCTTATGTTTATTTAGTGAGTTTGGGAATTGTTGGAGACTTTTTCCCTGTATTATTCAATCCCACAACAGGGTGCAACAGCTTTGGGCTAAGTTCTGGAGAAACATGTCAAGGTTTGAAGCAGAAGGTGCATGATGAACTTGCCAGAGACATAATGAGCAGTTTCTTACACACTTGAAGAAAAGCAAAGACTATGGGGTGCTTCTGGTCACCTTAAACTGAACTCAGGTCATGTTTGCAAATGTTGCAGTTGAGTTGCTTCCAGCTAAGGGGTCAGCCAGGAGTGGGAATTGATGAAAGCAAACATTGCAAATGCAAGGCTTTCAGATCAGCTCTGGAGCAGAGATAAAATCTGAAAACAACAAATCACACAAAAATTGGAGGATAATGAAATCAAACAGAAAAGAATAGAGAATATTGCAATTTTGTCTTAGCATGTGTAGTCGGTCAGCCATGTCAGTACAGAATTCAGGAACATAAACTTTGGATGAGAAAGTTTTATTTTCTTTTTTGGTAGCAAACAATTTAAATGCAGCTAGAAAGTCTCCAGTTAACCTCTAGTAGTACTGAATGATGTAGAGAGTAAGATCAATTACAAATAGATGGAAACACTGCCTTCACTTGCCTTTTGGTTATGAGGGCAGTGAGACTGAAATAAAGGCTGCAGAGCAGCAAACAAGATGTGCTAACTTGCCTAAAGGTTCCAGGGAAATCCACTGCAGCTGCTTATTATCCCCAGGGAGAGGTACCTGGGGCTGTTCAGCATCAGCTACAGCTTGAGCTGAGTCACCTGCTCAGGGATGAGGGGCTCTGGAGCACTCCACATCCATGATCAGCATGGGCTGTCAGTTGTGTTGTCAGCTTCTTAAAGAGGGACAGAAGATGAGTGGAGGTTTGGCTTTGTTTTCTTTTTTTTTTCTTTTTTTTCTTCTCCTTCTGCTCCTGTGGTTCATTATTCAAATTCAGTGTCTGTAGTTTAAGCAAAAGCACAGAGCAGTGTGGGCAGTACAGAAGTGCTTGGTTGTCCAGAGCTGCCTGGGAAGCAGTGCATTGCCTCCTTCCCTGGGCACTGGTACCACAGGTGAGCTTCACCTACAGGCCCTGGAACTGCAAGAGGCTCAGTCAGTATTTTGGAAGGATTTTCAAGTGTGTAGTTCTTCCTGATTATGTCAGTGTAAATATATGTTGATAGACTTGATGGTAATCACAGTGATAACAAAATATTCCTGAGCTGCCTGCAGCCATCACATGCTCATGAGGTGAAGAAGGGAATTTACAGCTGGGAAAACAGCAAGAGGAGAAGGCTCATGATTTCCTGAAGGTAGCAAGGAAGCTGGACCTCCAGTTCTCCTCTGACACAAGTCTTAACCTTTCTGTTACAGTTCCTACAGCTGGGCTGATGTTGTGCATCTCTGAAAAATACCAGTCCTCTTCTTAATAATAGTGTGTGCGTGAAAGAAGTTTTAAATTTAAAAGTAAGGTCTGCAGGGAAGCATAATTGGAGTTGTCACAGTGTTCATGCAGAATGTGGGCACGTTGCCTGAGGTGATTATCTGGTATTAAATTACTCTTAAGTAAATTAACTTGATAAGAGGCACCCTGTGATTTTTAAGTTCTGCTTGATAGAATGAGTTCATGGCCTGTATGAAGTTGCATACACTTTTCTTGGTTGAAAAGAAAGTATTTAGATCTGTGAATTTATTACTTTCTGGAACTTGGCATAGAAAAAGAACTCACCTATAGAGATTGATTGCTTGTGTTTGGTCTGAATATGAAATTAGAGGATCTCATTTAATTGAGGAGGGCATATCTACAATGCTTTGAATTCTGTGGTTGGTTTCAAAACAAAACTGCAGAAATATGGGGAAGGTTAGAGGTGACAAATCTCAATAGCCTAAGTATTTAGTAGAATATAATTCTAATACAGAATGAAACACAGCAACTGTATGAATGATAATTTTTTGTTGGCTTTGTTTTTTTTTATTTTCCTCACAGTTTCAAAGAACATTTGAGTCTTTAAAAAATGTATCCAGTAAATCTGATCTGCAGAAAACCTACCAAAAGTTTCAAAAGGATCTGGAAAACCTTGATTACCTGGCATACAAACGTCAGCAGGTAAGACCATGGAGGTGTAAGAGGACAGAATGCTGGGCATGAGCAGGGTGGGTGGTGAAACTGCTGTGCTTGGTGGAGTCACTGCTCTGCCATTGGGTTTTGTGCTTTGTGCAGTGCCAGGTAAGGCTGCAGGGGCTGGGAGGGGCAAGTCTGCCTAAAGCATGTGGTGCTGGACTGCTGGGTTTTGGGTGTTCAGCAGAGAGAAGCACAGGCAAAACCAGTAAGTGAGACTCAGCAGGCATTAAAAGTGCATTAACATGTTATTATCTAAATGGAAGTGTGTAGAAGTACTATTTGCAGTCTTTCACTTGAAAAAGTAACCAAATTCACATAAGTCAGTGGAATACAATACTTTCTATGCATGCAAGCCACTAATTTTTTCTCCTCTAGAAATGAATTTGTGAGGTTAGTATGCATCAAACTTTGAAGTGCACATGGTCTTTGACTTGTATTTGCAAGATCAAAGTTGAATTATTAAAACATGTTTAATGTTGGATATTCTGTCACTTATACATAGCTGATGTGAAAATATCATTATGGGTATTCACTAATTTTCTTCTCTTGATGATAAAACAAGAATTACCTCTTCCACAGCATGAGGGTAAAAGCTGCAGCATTTGTGTGAGGGTCGTTGTGGTTTGTGTTTTCCTGGATTCTGTCACTTGGTGTCAGTGTTGCCAAACAGTTCCTGTGCTTGGGGCAGATCACTGGCAGCTATTTGTGTCAGGTAATTGATTAGATTAATTTGTCTTAGTTAATTTGCATTGTTTATCTGAGCAGTAGTTACCTGGCTATGGGGAGGAGAGTTTTACCTGCTTGTTGATACCAAGGTTTTCATTTCAGTAGAACTTGCTGGAGAACCTGCAGTGAGGGATTTGAAAAGTGCATGGATGTATTTAGTGTAGAAGATGCTTTGAATTTTGTCCTGCTTTAAAGAGAAAGTAATCTTCTTGTGAAAAGATTGAGAATTGCTTGGATTACTGTGCAAAAATTGCTGACCTGCTTTGGGACTGAAGCTGTTGTGACTCTGGGAGATATTTGTGGAGTGTTTAATTGATAACACATTTAATTGATAACAATTTATCTACACTTGTGTTAGGTTAAGGGTATATTCATGGTCCCTCTGGCAAAATGCTGAGTAACTGCATCTGTTTGGAGACAAACGTTTGTCTATGGTCTGAGTGTGAATCTGTTGCTGGTAAAATAAGGGGTTTCCATGCTGAAAGCAATGAATGTTGCCTTTGAAAGAAATAGTTATCTGCTTCTGTACCTTTTCTTCAGACATGAGCCATGAAGTGCAGCATAGCAAGGTGCTGCTTCAGTGGGAAGGTTTACAGGACAGATGGGAAACCACAGCTGGGCTTTTTCAAGGCTGTTCAGAATGTCCCACATCGACTCTGATTTCATAAATATAGACCAAACTTCTATGAGTGGCAGCAGTATGCAAGTGGCAAACTTGTTTGGGGTGATGGTTGGGCAGCACCCACTAGAGAATTCCTGTGGGTTGGGAATATCTGTTTGTAGCCAGGCTGCCATTTTGAAATGTGCCAGGAGGTGCCTACGTCTGAGAAATGTAGATTTTCTTTCTTGTCCAGGAGATAGTCTGGCAATTCCTTTGAATTAAAGCAAGCTTTTCATTTCCTTGCTACTTTCTCATCTCTGAAATTTGACAAAAAAGAACAGCTGCATGCCACAATGAGTACTAGAACTTACTCTCTTGCTCTGTGACTTCATGGAATGTTTCCAGTAAAAACTAAGTAAAGTTTACATTGTTTTGTATCAACCTCAATATTATCACCTTTGTAATATGAATATTGACAGGATAAAATGTTCAAGCACTTGGGGATAAGGTGGGACTTGGTGATAGATCCCAGCTGTGCTCTTGGGATGCTGTGGTAGGTGCACACTTCCTCTTCTCTTCCCTGGGTCTTTGTTGCTGTTGGAGGGAAGTTGTCCATATAGTGTTCAGCTGGAATGGCACTGCTTTAAGGTTTATTACAATTATCTTACTGTAAGGTCATTTGAGGAGAGTTGGGCAATAGCTGCAATAAAAATGGACTTACAGTGAGGTTCAGTGGTATTTAGCACTTGTCAAACTGAAAAATTGCCACAGTTGCTGCTGTTCTTAGTGCCAACAGTGCCTTTAGGATGCCTGGAGCAGTGCTGGCTGTGATCCAAAGGCATTCAGTTTTTGACTAGAAGCCTCCATCAACGTGTCATCTTATAGCTGACAACAGGACTTCAGTATGTGCACACACGCTAAAGCAGGATCCTGTTGTAAAGTATTCTGATTTAAGGTTTGCTTGTTTGATGTTGATTTTATGCCCTCAGGGAAATTGTTTGTAAAGGACTGAATCTATGGGAAATAATTGTGGTTAATCCACTTTTAAAAATAATTTTAGGATTTCTTTCTGATGTTTGTTAGATTTAGAAATGTTTTTAAAAGTTGTGTTGGAAACTGAAGGAGTTTCCAACTGTATCAAAGACATTTATGGGGCACACAGTGATTTAGTGTGCTCATGGGAAACAGTGCTTGCAGAAGACGCAGCAGAGCCATTCCTGTTCTAGTTCACAGTCCCTTGTTGTCAGTACTGCAGCTGCCTTCATGATCATACAGGTCACATTTGCATTTTGAAAGGTTTAATTCTGAATGAAGACTTTTGAAGGAACACTTCAGTCAAACGGTACTTCTTTTTGTTAAAATGGATTAAATGCACTTCTAATCTTCAGCTTTGATTGTTCACTTTGGTGGGAGAGAATCAGAAGAGTGAAAGTGAGAACTTGTGGGTTGATGAAGTCATTTAAACAGATAAAGCAAAAGCCCTGCACACAAGGAAAGCAGAACAAGGAACTGATTCCCCCATGGCTGGGCAGGTGTTCATCCATCCCCAGGAGAGCAGGGCCCCATCACGTGTGACAGTGACTGGGGAGGACAAACTCCATCACCCTGAATGTCCTTTCCTTCCTTCTTCTCCTGCCCAGCTCTGTGTGCTGAGCACGGCCCCACATGGGCTGGGAAATCCCTTGGGTCACTTGGGCTCAGCTGTCCTGGCTCTGTCCCCTCCCAGCCCTCACTGCTGGGGCTGGGTGAGGCCAGAGGAGGCCTTGGCTGTGTGTGAGCTCTGCTCAGCAATGCCCAAAACATCCCTGTGCTACCACTGCCCAAAACATCCCTGTGCCACCAATGCCCAAAACATCCCTGTGCCACCAATGCCCAAAACATCCCTGTGCCACCAACACCCAAACCATCCCTGTGCTACCAATGCCCAAAACATCCCTGTGCCACCAACACCGAAACCATCCCTGTGCCACCAATGCCCAAAACATCCCTGTGCCGCCAACACCCAAAATATCCCTGTGCTACCAACACCCAAAATATCCCTGTGCTACCAATGCCCTGTGTTACCACTGCCCAAAACATCCCTGTGCTACCAACACCCAAACCATCCCTGTGCCGCCAATGCCCAAAACATCCCTGTGCTACCAACACCCAAACCATCCCTGTGCTACCAACACCCAAACAATCCCTGTGCTACCAGTGCCCAAAACATCCCTGTGCTACCAACACTGCTTCCAGCACAAATTCAAAGCACAGCTACTGTGGAAAACACCTGAACTCTACCCCAGCAAAAACAGCACAGTATGAGATTTGTTCACTGAAGCGCTCCACTCCAGCAGCTGGAGAGAAGTTTTTGAAAGAGATTATCACTTATCAAATGGCAGGTTTATTTTGTGGCAGACCCTTTAAAAGTATGCTGGAAATTGGAGGGAGTTCAGGGTGAATTTTTGTTGTCAAGAAAACAAACATGATGATAGAAAGCTGACTGAGCTCCTTAAGTTATCTGGAAAAGGTTATGGCTTAGAAATGTCAGGAATAGAGGTACTTAACTAAATCTTTATTCTAGTACAGGGAAATATGAGAAGAGCCAATGGATGGCAGTCAGACAAGTTCAAACCAGAAAACAAATGAGCATTTTTGACCATTAACTCCTGAGAGGACTTAGTTAAGAGGTGCAGTACATTAATCACTGCTTGTAGCCTTTCTCTCCATTGTCCATACCTTTTGAAAGGATGTGAAATAACTGAGATGCAAATGAAAGGGCAGGAATTATGGATCTTTCTGTGGCTTGTGCTATTGGGGGAATTTGAATGGGAATTCACTTTTTTCCCCTCCACTTAAGAATGACACTACATTTGGTTGGTTGTTGGAGGGTAAAGGCAGAATTATGTCTTCTGAATTGCCATCCTGGAATAACAAATGGGTGAATTTGTTCTGTTTTGTATTTACCACTCTACCACTGTCTAATGTTTTAGATTTTAGGGTTGGATGTGTTGAGAGCTTGTTTAGGAATTTTCAAAGAAGCTTTGTACTTTACTCCAGAGTAATTTTAAGGCCATATAGGGATTTGATTCCCATTAGATTTCTGAAAATGCCTTCTTTTGTTTTCTCCTTTAATATGTACTCACACACTATTGATTATAAAATGAGACTATAGGTTCTATTTCCAGTATTGTAGCTGCTTATCTCCCCTTGACATAGGAACAACATCTATCATGTTGTTGTGTAATTAAAATGGTTGATTTATGCATTCATTTTTTAAAAAAGCAAACACCAAATTAGTCTCGGTAGCTAAGATAGTGAAAAATTATGACAATTCTGTTCTCAGCCACCTGACTTGTTTTAGTAATTCCATGATTATAGCCCTGTCATTTGGTCCTTGCTTCTGTCTGTCTGTGTATCTCTGTGGCTTGCTTAATGGGTGAAGAGGTTTTCCTTTTCCCTGCTCACCTGAAAGTGCTCATATTTTTATATGTATTCAGGGTTGTAGGGGGAAGGCTTTCGTATCAATGCTTCCCCATTTTCTGTCTTTGCCTGCATGCTAAACCTCTGAGAAAAAAAGTCATGCCTCCCCTCATCTTTCCAAAGCTCAGACTGTTGCTGTTTCCATGAAACTGAATTAGTTTTGGCTGTGCCCAAGATATCTTCAGTTTGGATAAAA